AAATTTCCAGCAGCAGCTCCGGCGTCGCAGCCACGAACAAAAATCTCGCCAATCAGTAGAAGAGAAGCGTTGCGTAGACCACTCCAATCAGCGACGCTGAAATGCCAGTGCCCACTAACGACTGGCTCTGAGAAAGAAACGTGAAACGAATCACGGGCAAGGACAATTCTGTGGTCGTTGATCTCTGGCAAACCCTGGCAAGTAACACCAGATAGAACATCCGTAAGAACAATATCCAACATATAAGCTCCGCGTGTAGGTTGCCCCACCTTCGCCATCAGCCCATTCTGCCGCAAATGTGCTGCAGCTCCCTCCCCTTCGGCCTCCAGGCTGTTGCTGTGTGAATTTAGTAACCACCGCTGATTGTGCGCAATCATATCCCCCACAATAATGGTAGTCATCGCCATGCGGCGCAAGGACTCCCACTCCCACTCCAAAGAGCGAACAGAAGCGACTTCACTATGACAAGGGGGTCGGTACCACAGCGAACAACACTGGGTCCTTGATTCGTGTAAATAGTATGCCAAGTGCAGCCGGACTCACCAGAATCCAAGACGTGCACAATACTTGAAGCAAACGATTCTGTCGCTAACAACAAGATGCTTCCTCCTTTCCTCCCACCCTGCCAGTCCAGCCTGGATACCCCAACGTAGCCATCAAAAGCAATATTACACTTGAGAAAACCCAATCAGTGGATGATTTGAGAATTAGTCATATGGATCTTGAGATCGATTGTGAGATCGATAATGAGATCGATAGTGGAATCGATAGAGGACGATTGTAAGGTCGATCGTGAGACCGAGAGTGAAATCGATTCAATGAGATCGATAGGGAGATCGATCGCAAGATCGCTCGTGCGATCTCTAGTGAGATCGCTTGCGAGATCGATTGTGAGATCGATTGTGAGATCGATGGTGAGATCGATAGAGGGCTGGCAAATGAGATCGATGCTGAGACCGATCGATAAGAAGATCGACCAGGAACCCGGGAACCTGGGAACCTCACCGCCCACCGAGATCGGCCCGGGAACCCGGGAACCGGGAACCCGCGGGAACCCAGCGTGCGACCAAAATTGGCGGGAAATTTTCGCCAAATCTTTCAACCTCCGCTAGGACCCCTTCAGTGCAAGCATTGATTGGGGAATGGCGAACCGAAAGGTCCAAAGAGTTCCAGCAATGGCAAGTACATCCGGAGACCCAGCTTGCTGTAGTCTGTGTTGCAATTCAGCACTAAGAGAAACGACACCGCGCAAGTTGACGTGCATGATGGTGAAACATACATCTGGGACTGGCGAGTCAAGCTCGGATTTCCACGAGCTGTCGCCAGGAGGGCGTTGGGAACCCAAATGGGCATTCCACAAGCGGCGCCTGCGCAAGAAAGTAGCATGGGAACGAGGACCACGGCGACGAGCTCGTCGGGTCTCCAACTGGCGGGGCCGCTCTTCTGCCATAGAATGGCGGGCGGACCAAATATCGTGACATCGTGACTTTGCGTGAACGGATACACGTCATGTTGAAGAGCGGCCCCAAGCCACCCAAATGGGATAGAGAGCTGGGCAAAAGGAGGTAAGAAGGTGCCCGTCACGTCGTCCTGGCACTGCTTGAAAGCAACCTCCTTATTCACGATTACGTGCCGGTCCCTCGAGCCCTCCACATTCCGCAAGATCTCCACGTTCTTCCCGGAGGCGGTGCCCGGCTCCTTGATCAAGTTTTCTGCTTTCCTGAAGGCGTAGTTCCGTTTCTTCTGATTATGTGTCCGGGCGGTCTTCACCAGAATAAGCACGGTGCCCTCGTTGTGAAGATCAATTTTGGAGGCCTGAACGCGGGACAAAAACGATTTAGCCATGTCAGGTCTACAGAATTCGACCCACGATCCTTTGGACGATTTCTGGTTACTGTGGGGGTCCGTGAAATCGTTGCCAAAGCCGATTGGGCGGAACGAAGAGAAATGTGTGTTCAAGAATTTCTCCATCTCCTGGATCCTGGTGTCCTCTGAGACCCCCACCGGCCACCCCACGAAAGCGACGCGGCGGAACGCAGGGTGGAGACGGTTCACGGTGTTCAAAAAGCTCCTTGAAAGTTGGGGTTGAAGCGGAAGGAGGCGAGGCTGAAGGAGGATTGTCCTCGACATTGGCCACGCGGACGTCGAGCTCGTGGACGAGATCCTGGATGGGGTCCACGGCCCCCGACAGAGACGTCTTAATCTCCTTTCTGAGGGAGACGGTGGGCGGCAACGAGGCGGCAACGGGCGGCATCGTGGCGAAGTCTCGGTGGACCCCCCAATCGCGGTGGGCGGCGATGAGGCGGCACCGGTCGGCAACGTGGCGAAACTTTGACGGACCACCTCAACGCGGTGGGCGGTACCGCGGCTGCAACTGACGGCAACGTGGCGAAAATTCGGCGGAACCCTTTCAGCGCGGTGGGCGGCAACGAGGCGACAACGGGCTGCAACGTGGCGAAACTTCTGTGGACCCACCCAGTTCCTTAATGACCCATTTCAAAAACCCCAAATGTAAGCAATGTTTGGAGAGGCAGTTGACAGTCCAAGCGGCTTCCTCTTCTTTTCTCCCACATGGTATCCGACGTCGCGAGACACATACAACATCTTGAGACAAACGCACTGTACCACAGTACTATGCCCCTCGACCATTTCTTGGTGCGGCACCTTAAACCAAAGGCCAGAGCCATGCGGAAGGCATCCGGAGCCCCAAACTGGACGAAATCGTCCAGAGATAAACACAATGCAACGCCCGGCTCTTGGGGGGCGCGTGATGGGGGGCAATGAATGGGTGGGGCAGCGAGGGATGCTGGCAAGGCGCCCTTTAGGGCCTCCCAAGTTAAGAAACCATACGCCCACTGGCGCGTGGGCAGGGCAGACACGTTGCACTGTATGGCGACGCAGGACAGAGGAGCGCTTCACGATTGTGACGCAGAACAGCAGAGCGCATCACGACTGTGAAGCACACAGTGCACGCGCAGGGGTGGAGGGAGGAAAAGAAGAAAACAGCGAACTACACGCGTGATGCCGAATCACTCGTCTACGTCTACGAATTCCGTGCGAAAGCGACACCATTGCTGTTGTCTGCGACGCATTGGAACAGGCTTTAATCAGATCCAGAATAGTTGCGAACTTCTGTGTGCAAGCACTTCGCCCACGCATGTCTGGGGCATCCAGCTTTCCTTGCACGAGAGACTGTGATCGGTCTCATGCTGCCTAGCTGGAAAAGCTATTTTTCGGAGAGGTCAGTGTCGCTGCTACGCCCAGGTGTACCAACCCACATGAGTTGATGCTGAAGTAGTTGGGGGGGCGCTTCAGGGCCCGAAAGGGTCACCTTTCTCCCCTCGTCCCCCACGTCTGTCGCCCCCCATCGAATCTGCGCCCAAGGGTCCCAGGGCCGCTCCTTCGTCGCCCCCTGGTGGGCGTGGAGAGACACCACAGGCCCGCAAGCTTTCCAAGGCCGGGCGCCGTGCGCCCGCCCGAAACTTTGGCGGGAGGCACCAGAACGCCTCACCGCATGCATCACAGGCATGCATCACGGTGGCTGGCCAGAGTATCGGTCGATCGAGCTCACACGGGTTCGGCTTCGAGTCATCGGAGCCTCGGGCATCCGCGCAACTCTGTCTTTGGGGTGCGCTAGCGTCGGTTAGCGTTTGGCAATCGATCATTTGGCGCCACTTCATCGTCGATTAGCGTCGATCTAGCGTCGATTTAGCGTAGATTCGCGTCGATTCGCCGGCCAACAAGGTAGTAGGGGCGGCTCCTATGAGTTGCCACCAGATATTGGAGATGCCGTGGTCGGGGTCTCGAGGCAGCGCGCCGTCTTCGGCCAGATCCCCCGAGCCCTCGCGCTCCCCGGTCTCGCCCCCGCGAGCGGCGCCGAGTCGCCGAGCATTTGTAGGCCCGCGCGCACGCGGAGTTCAGCGACAGCAGAGACTTCAGGATCTCCCTCCCCCTCGCCCCGTCCCTCGTCCCCCCCTGGGGGCGCGGAGCGGAGCGCCCTGGCGGGCCAGGAAGGAAACCCAGACAGGCGGCGTCTCGATTTTTGTTGTCCAGGGCGGCGTTGTTGGAAGTCCAAACCTTACCAGTTTGAAACATATCCCTATCCGTATGTTTGACATCACCTCACCTCGATGCCGATCTTGAGGATTCCCTCAGTTTCTGAGGGCCTATCCCTAAGATTGTCCTCGCTTTTTGCTCGCCCATCTTAGGGATAGGGATACGTTCGAGGCTGGTTAAGACACTCTCCCCGGGGCCGATTTTTCGCACCCTGAGTCGTTCTTTTGGACGGTCCCAGGGCCCGGCGCGGGCCAGGGGCCGAGAATGACGAGAAAAACCAGCCGTGCTGAGGTTTGCCACGGCGCGGTCATGGCTGGAAGCACCACTGCAGCAGCAGTGCAGGGGAGGATGACGGTGCCGCCTCGCCTCTTCGCGCATCCTTGCAGGCGCGCAGTCCTCCTCCCCCTCCTCCTCCTCCTCCTCCTCCTCCTCATCCTCCTCATCCTCCTCCTCCTCATCCAGTGCTCTGAGCGAGAATTTTTCTGGTGGAGGGCGGCGGGTCTCGCAGCCGGGTGACGGGCCTCTGCTGCCAGACCCCCGACGTCGTGTTTGTTTCATGACGCCGAGGTTTTTTTTCAAATTTCAGCCCCAGCCCTCGCCGGGCCTCGGGACCGTCAAACAACAATTCAAGGTGAAAAAACGGTCCTGGGGAACGGGTCGAGATTTCCTGGGACCCCGCATTGAAAAAATCACGACATCGGATCTCTGGGTCCACACGACCAGCGTTTCATCCTGAGTCGTTTTGTGCACGGTCCCGATGCCCGGCAGGGACCCCTGGAGGCCGAGAGCAGCGAAAAGCCTGCGTGCGTGATTTTTATTCGTGACTCCAGGGGGTCTGGGTTCTGTGCTGCTCTGTGCCCACCCCCCGCCCTCGTGGGCTCCCGACGCCGCTCGCGCCCGAGGGGTAGGATGGCGGGGGCGGCTGGTGAGCTGCTGCCGCCCCGTCCGGGGCGCCGCGGGAGGGGCCATGGACGCGGCGGGGGTCCCGGCAGATTGCGCGGAGGTCAGCGACGAAGCATGCAGTAGGGCATCGACTACGAAATTGATTTGCCCCACTCTTCATTTTCCCATCGAGCCTACGACAAGTACGTAGAATGGTCGTCGAAGGTCAGAGAATTCGATGTGACACTTGTGGGTTCGGCGGGAGCATAACATGATTGATGTGCAAATCAATTATGTAGTCGATTTTCCACTCGACAAGAGGGAGGTGGCGACGAGGGATCGAGTAGGGCATCGACTACGAAATTCGGAGGGAGGAGACGCGACACCAACACCACCAGGGGGGCTACCTCCAGCGAGAAGGTCCACGATGCCTCCTCCGAGCTGGAGGCTGGGGATGTCTCGAGCGAGAGGGGGGGCCACACCGCCAGGGAGAGCCCCCTTGCCTCCTCGCATCTCCTCGCCCTGGTGGTGTTGGTGTCGCCTGTCCTCGCTCCTAGATGCTGATTTACCCTCCATTCGTTTTCCCATCGAGTCTACGACGAGTGCATGGAAGGGTCGTCGAATCTCAAAGAGTGGGACGCAACGTTCGTAGATTTGACGGAGACTGCATTGTTGGGTAGATCAATTCTGCACTCGACCCCCTACTCGAAGGGAGGGGGCGGTGGAGCGGGCTCGAGGTGCGGCCTTCCAGGGTCGAGGCTCTGTCTTTTTTGCCCTCTGTGGGTCTCAGGGAGCGTTCTCGCCGCCGCGCCTCCTCCTCCTCCTCCTCCTCCTCCTCCTCCTCCTCCTCCTCCTCCTCCTCCTCCTCCTCTTCCTCTTTCTACAGTTACTCCATATGACTACTACTTTCCTCCTTCCCCTGATGACTGGTTGGGAGTGTTCGCCCCCCCCCCGCGTATTGTTTTTTCCACAGGATTCCCTGGAGTTGGGTTTTCGCCTGCTTTTTTGTCCAAAATGCTGCTCTCGCTGAGGCGCCGGCCTCATTTTCGGGCCCCGCTCGTTCCGAATCGTGCTCCCGCTGCAGCGCTGGCCTCATTTCCGTGCTTCCGCTCGTTCCGAATCGTGCTCCCGCTGCAGCGCTGGCCTCATTTCCGCGCTTCCGCTCGTTCCGAATCGTGCTCCCGCTGCAGCGCTGGCGTCATTTCCCGCGCCATGCCACGGCATGCAATGCAATGCTAGGTTGCGTTCCGCTGCGCGATGCCATGCCTTCAGCTGAAGCTGTGATATGCAGTGCTTAAGTGCCACGTCGTGCTATGCCATGCTACGCTTTGATCTTCAACGCCATGCTATGCAATGTTATGTTCGGGGCCGCTGTGCGATGTCATGCTTTGCGTTGCAAAGCTTTGTGATGCAAGTCTTCACTACGCCACGCCACGCCATGCTGTGACATACTACGCTTTGCGGTGCTCTTCTACGCCATGCCATGCCGTGCTCTACAATGCATCGCGTACCCTTTCGGGATCATGGCCCTGCTCGACATCCGACTGTGCGAGTAGTGACGGGATCTACGCCATGGTAAGGGATGGGAGGGAGGGGTAGGATGTCAGATATGACGCGAGCGCACCTAGCTTGTCTCCTCCCCCTCCTCCCCCTCCTCCTCCTCCTTCTCCTCCTCCTCCTCCTCCTCCTCCTCCTCGTCTCCTACTCCTGCTCCTCCGCCTACTCCTCCAAGCCCCTTTTCATCGAAGGATTGCCAGAGGGGGGGCTCTCCGCGCGCGACCCGATGTATATCGTTGGCCGCCGCCCATGGGGATATTTTTCGTGGTTCAGCGGGAGGGGTGGCGATGTCTTTTCTGAGGGTCTTCGGATTCAATCCCATGCATACTTCCGGAGTGCGCCTTCCTGAACTCCTGGGAGAGACAAGGAACTTTGATCTGGTGCTTCTAGCAGGTACACAGCAGGTTGAACACAACGCTTTCGCTCCACACGTTCAGAGCTCACGCTGTGCAGGAAGAGTGTGTATTTCGGCCTCGTACTTCCCGTCGCCGTTCAGCAATCATAGTTGTGGCTGCTCTCTCGCATTCAGCCCCCAGGTGAACGCCCGACACCTTCTACGAACATGGGCGCCTCCGCCCGAGGCTAGGGGCACAGCGGTCGCAGCGAGAGTGAAGTACGGAGCGGCGGACATGTGCGGCGTTGTGTGTTATTTCCGCCCCGTCCGAGATCGAGGGCTGAACACGGAGGGTATTTCAAAACTGTATCAATACTTATTCTACGGTTGGCCGCAGTACTTTCTTTCCTCCCTGTTCGATGTGCCCCCACCATTGTACTGCGATTTGAACCACGGGATCGGCGAAGTTCGAACGGACGGGGTGTGGGCATCAGTCGATTCCCAAGAAGTTGGCAGACCGAACAGATAAATGTATGTGAATGGAGCAGGACACCGTATGCGCATGCTGATGGAGACCCACGAGCTCGTGGCGAGAAACACCTTCGGCTCAGAGCTTGAACCAACGCTTCTGCACGACAGTTCATGCGAGAATTGACTATCTGTTTCTCCCTCAAGCTATGCACGATTCAGTTGTCACGTGCAGGGCTCACTACCGACAGGGCTCGACGTTGCAGGCCATCAGAGGGGTTTCTCCGAAGGGTCATACTCCCCTGGTGGCAGTCTTACGCTATGAGAAGCATGGTGGCGCAGCGGTGGACACACGGCACATAGAGGAGTGAGATGTGGATCGGTTGGCGCAGTCACTACATGAAGGACGGGGTTGCGCAGAATTTATGTCAACACTGAAGGCACGGTGTGATTATTTACGTACGCAGTGGTTTCGCACAATGCTTCCCCTGATGAGATCTTTGAGGTGTTAGAGCGAATTTTAGTGGAGTCTGGTCGGGCCTGCGTTTCTCGCACTCGCGAATTAAGACAATATTGCTCAGCGGGCCGCGCGCGACGACGTAGTCTGTCGGCGCAACGACTCGAGCATCGGAGCGGTAAGTGCAACGTCTTCCCTGAGGAGGCCCTTCGCATCGATCAGGACTTGAAAGAGTTGACCCGCCAGCTTTTTTTGGATCGGCGCCGATCAACCAGACGGCTTCAAACCCAGCTCGTCTCCGAAGCAGTGGAGCTCTGGCACAAGGGACGCACGGCAGAAGGAATGCGATCGGCCCGCCGCGCTGCCCGCGCGCGCTACGGGCCGACCCGCCGCGCCGGCCGACTGGCACGCTGCCCCCCCCCCCCCCCCCCAAGTCTGGGGCAGCAGGAGGCACGGTGGTGGTCGAGGAATCCTTCGGCAGCTGGAGGGGCCCACGGGTGGATACAGGGGTTTACTACTCCGACGTCTCTAACGAGGAGATATTTGAATTGGCCAAAGAAGATGCGCAGGCCATTCGGGAACATGCCCGACGGACCCCACACAGAACATCAGTGTCCGCTGGAACCGCGCCGCTTGAGATCTGGCATCCGCGCATGTGGCCAAACTATCGCGTTCGCTGCCGGGCTGGGCTAGGGTCGGGGATTACGCTGAAATCGCAGCAAGGTTGCTGGTTTCTTCTCGGCCTGGGTCTAGCTAAGATGAGGGAGTGCCAGGAGGTGCCGCTATATTGGAACACGTCTAGGGGTGCGAACATACCCCAGAAACTGGAGGACGGCCCCCAGGGGGGCTCGAGTGGTCCGGATTCTACCGTTCGCGGGCAAATCTTGTTTTCCAATAAGCTATAGGTTCAACCGACGGTGGCCGACCATGGGTTTGTAAAACGTCGACACCGAGCAAATGCTGTACTAACTACGTTAACGACAGGATGGAGGGCTAGAAGGATCGGGGTTCCATGTTTCAACACGTTTAAGGACATGAACAATGCTTTTGCAAGTTCGACCTTGTCTGAGTTGGACCAGGCAGTTTCTCTTGCGGCAGCTGGGCACGACCAAGCGCTTTGCCGTCAGCGCTACCGCGCGGCCATTATCGAGCTCGACGCGCAGTTGGGCCCCCCCTCGTGCGACCAAGGCGTGGGGGACCCATGGGGGGCCCATTTGCAGTCCAGGGCTTCGCGGGTGCCATCTCGAGGGCAGTATTAGGTTGGAGCTACCCACTTCTGCGTGCCGATGTGAGATCACGGGGTCTCGTTTCAGCGTGCTCTCTCAACAATGTGCAGGTCCTGCGCTACTGGCGCCTGGCAGGTGGCAAAATCGAACTCATCATTCGACGTTTGAAGATTTACCTGTCGTGGGCCCTGCGCCCCGCTTGGCACGCCCAGCCTCTCGGCGCAACGTTCGGCTCGCTCGTGATCGAAGAGATGCTTGGATATGGGTCTCAGCTGCAGGAGGGAATTCCGACGGCCTCGGCATATCCGCGGGTGAAACAATTTGTCCAGGACCTGGAGTTCGCGTCGGAGCGTTTGGAATATCATGCGATTGGTGAGTTTGTTTTCAGATTCGCTGATGTTGTTAGACCCCGAGGCCGCCGAGGACTTTGTAAACATCGACTTCGCGGAGTTCAGGGCCAGGGAGTTCGGGGTCCACATTCCTTCTCCTGGGGCGCGCGTGTCTACTGCAACCGCGCCGGTGGGGGGCGAGGTGGGGGGCGGGGGGGGGGGGGGACTGCAGGCGCATGATCGTAGACGACAGCGGCAACGCATGCAATGCTGCGCGTAACGATCGCAAAACTCTGTTCAACCACGCACCATCATGTACGAAATCTACCAGCCGTCCTCACAACGTTCAATATATGTATACACTGTAGGCAAACATTCTCGACGAGGGTGACCGCTGCCCGCCATCATCTTGGGTCTGTTCCCAGAGACAGTTGTTCAACGAGGGGCCCCGCATCATTGACGGCATCGGCTCCTCCTCAGACTTGTGATTGCCCCGTGTGTGTACATGGGGCTGCTGATTTGGATGCGCCCGGTTGCCATCTGTGCTCGCATTTACCGTGGAAGCTACAGCCTTACCGACCAATGCCTTCACCTTCCGAGGGCGCGACTCGCGGCGCTGGGAGCCATGCCCGAGCTGGCGACGCCGCCGTGGCTCAGCCCAACGCAGGCGAGGAGGCCAGGGGCAGCAGAAGGAAGTCAGGACAAGAGGGCGAAGACCGAGGGCGGCGGCGGCAAGGGCAGCGAGAAGGACAACGGCAAGCTGCTCATGCTGGTGGCTCGGCTTCTTCTAGCCACCACGCGTGGCTTGGCAGACCTCTACGGCGGCGGTGTTCATCACGTGCGAGATGAGCGCGGCGCAGGGCTTCCCAGCAGCGCTCGCGGCGGCGGGCAATGTGGCAGGGATCCACCACATCGCCTCGCGGACCCACGCCGAGGGGGACCAGGCCGAGAAGGAGAAGCAGCTGAGGTCGGACGCATAGGAGTTCTGGGCCAGCACGGTATCCGACACCGACCAGCGCTGTCTTGTGATCGCGCGCTTCGACGCGGAGAGCCCGATCGACAAGCAGGCCCAGGATCTCTTTCTGAGGATATTGGAGACGTTGTGTGTGGGGGGGAGAGGCTCCGCGGCAGCGCATCGATGGGGCCCGCTGGAGCGAGAGATATCATCAGCAGCGAACGGAAAATGATGCGGCAGCAGAGTGAGAGACTAGCGTCCCTGATTGAGCGAGGCTTGATCCCAGGGGGAGTAGCAGCTAGAGCGTTAGCAGGGGAGCGGAGTTTGCCGTCGTCCTATGCACAGAGCAAATTGCCAGGCATTCCAACAGGAGTGTTGCCTCGCAGAGGCTCTGGCCGAGGGAGGGGGAGGGCGGTGAGTCAGGGGCGTGGGAGGGGACGAGCACCGATTAGCGAGAGCCAGCAGTAAGCAATAAAATGCTTACTCGAGCTGCCTCCCGTGCCGTTCGAGCCGACACTCAGCATAGGTAGCGTGCCTCAGAGGTGTCGGCAGGCCAGTACCTCGCTCGAGGAGAGTGAGCTACATATTCGTATTTCAACAATTCCGTGAGGGTCGAAGTTACCCGTCCCCAGAATCCCGTGCCAAGCTGATGCCCCGTCTGACAGCTGCGGATTCCATGGGCTCGTCTCGTATTGTCTCCTGCTCCTCCCCCTCCTCCTCCTCCTCCTCCTCCTCCTCCTCCTCCTCCTCCTCCTCCTCCTCCTCCTCCCTTTTCCTCCCCCTCTCCGTCATTCTGGTGGCCCACGCGCACCCCGGTGCAGATGCGGGGGCCGACTCTTTCGGGCCCAGGCGGCCCCAGAATCGAAGAAGAAAAAACGCTATAAACATTGACTTCTGGCGCGTTCCGCGCCGATTTCTTGGATCCGCGACGGAGCCCCCCTGCCGGCGCCCCTGGCGCGTTCCACGCGCCAGGGGGAGGGGTCCAGCGCAGATCCAAGAAATCCGCGCGGAACGCCAAAATTTTATGTGTATGCAATTTTGTCCAGGAGGTTTCTGGCAGGTTTCGGCTTCAGGGTCCCCGCGCCGAACTGGGAAGCTGTCAAAGAGACGGCTTCGGATGAATAGCCAGTTTCGGGTCGGGGGCCGAGATTTCGTTGGGCCCACGTTGCAACAAGAAGCACGACGTCGGATGTGTGGGGATGGCGAGATGGGGGCGATGAAGGAAGGAGGGGGGGAGGGATTGAGGGAAAGAGTGAGATAGGGAGGGGTAGCACAGGTTGTGGATGGAGGGGGAGGGGGAAGGGGAGGGGGAGGAGGAGGAGGGGGAGGAGGAGGAGGAGGAGGAGGAGGAGGAGGAGGAGGAGGAGGAACAGGAGGAGGAGGAGGAGGTGGGGGAGAAGGAGGAGGAGGACGAGGAGGAGGAGGAGATGGAGGAAGAGGAATTGGAGGAGGGAGGAGGAGGAGGCGGAGGGAGAGAAGGTTCGATGATGTGGAATAAGGAGGGGTCATGACGATGGTGATGATAATAATAATGATGAGTATGATGATGTTAATGATTCTGATGGTGTTGATGGTGATGATGAGGATGATGATGATGAGGGTCAGGATGAGGACCATGATGAGGATGAGGATGATGATGATGATGATGGTGGTGATGATGATGATGATGATGATGATGATAATGATGATGATGACTCATGATGATGGTGATGATGGTGATGATGCTTATGTTGATGACGATTATGATGATGGTGCTGATGATGGTGGTGATGATGATGAGGATGATGTTGATGATGGTGGTGGTGATGATGCGGGTGACGATGATGATCATGATGAGGAGGAGGAGGACGAGGAGGAGGAGGAGGGGGAGGAGGGGGAGGAGGAGGAAGAAAGAGAGAGAGGGGAAGGGGTAGAGGAAAAAGAGAGAAGAGAAGGAGGAAGGGAGGAAGGTGGAGCGAAATTTACATGGCGGAGAGATTGGGGGAGATAATTGGAAAGGGAGGGAGGCAGGGAGGGGTCCTGTTGGAGCGAGGTCATTGGGAAGCTCCTGCCGAAGCTGTCGGGCATCATTGCTGATGCGCAGGCGAGGCGAGCAAACCGGCTGGCAGCGATCAATCAGCTGAAGAAGAGTTCGGCGAAACAATTTTTCCACCTCGGCACCGCTCTGGTCACCACCACGTACCTCCCTGAGGGCCCAATGGTCCAGAAGGTGATGGCGGCTCAGGCGGGTGATTTGCTGGACGTCTTGCAGAGGGCCGACGGGTGGACTTTCTGCCGGCACCAGGCCTCCGAGAGGATGGGGTGGATCCCTGCAGAGTGCGTCACGGAAGTGGCCACCTTCATCTCGAATCAGGAGTCCAGTGGCAGTGATGGCTTGCTCCGTGGCGAGGTATTAGAGGAGGATAAGATACCGATTCCGCTGCTTGTCCTGGAGAATCTTCGTCGCCATGGCTGCACTCTCCTCGAGATGCTGGTCAGAACGCACCCGGAGGGAGGTCCAAGGAGTAGCAGCATCAATACTTTTTTCACCCCCCCAAGGTTGGCGAGAAAGTGCAAGTCCTCAGCTGGCACTACAGCGGGTGGGTGCTGTGTCGGGAGTGGAATGCCGGTGGCACGACGCCCTCGCGCCTGAAGTCCGGCTGGGTTTCCGACAGCTGCCTTGCCGACAGTGCTAGTCAGGACCCCGAGGCCAAGATGTCCAGGTGGCACGTCTCGGTATTCGAAGAGCTAGACCGCATCGTTTCCAATGGGCGGGCGGCGGAGGCCCTCCTCAGCGGGATGACGCTGAGTCCGTGGGCGGGAGACAAGTCAGATGCCTCCCTGAGGCACTGCGTGGAGGTATGCTCTGGGCTGGCGGCCGAGCATCGGCAGGTGTGTGAGGCGGAATCCCGACGCGATGAACTTCCCACCTGGATACTCCCTGGCGCCCCTTGCAGATGGTGGTCGACAACTGGCAACTGCTTTGTGGACGCCTACATCGACAGCGTCGACTGGGCCGGCAAAGAGGTCCGCTTCGTGTTCGCCGCCAATGCCTCCGCCTGGAAACGCCTGCCATTCAAGCACTTCCGGCGGCCTCCCGAGGAGTGGCGCGCTCAGCCAGCACAGAAGCACGACGAGCCCACGCCTGTGAGCTCTTGCCCCACCACTCCACCCAACGTGCTCTCTCCCGTCGCGGCCAACACGACGCAGCCAGAGTTTCCCGCGTTTCCGGCGGACCAGCCACGCACGCCCAACGAACTCGGAGGTGGCGACCCCGCTCTGGCCGTGGCCAGCACCACGCAGCCGGAGCTCCTGGCGACTCCTGCGGATCAGCCGCACACGCCCAACGTCCTCGGCGGGGGCGACGCCACTCCGACGCAGGAGGGGTTCCCTGCGATCTCGGCGGATCAGTCCCACAGGCTCCGAGGTATCAATACTTTATCATGGCCCTTTGGGCGCACAACCCAGACAGCCTGACACCTCTGGATCCCGAAGCGCCTTGATCCAGAGGGGGGGGCCTACTGGTCCGGTAGGTCGCCAGCGCATCCGCCCGGCACTGAAGCTCCTCAATGTGCTCGGGGATGCTGTGCCGCAGATGTAATGTTTCGGAGGTCGTTCACGTCAAGCGTGTCCGATGGAGAACGCGGAAGGATGGAGGGCATTACGTTCAGGAATTTGGGCTCAGTGTGTCGCGCCGTCACTTCTGGCCCACCGCGTTTCGGCGCGATACGCTGATCACGTCCTGGTCCCCGAGCGGTTACGATCCGAGCCTTTCCGAGCGTCCCGCCACGCTGAGCGGGGCGGCGCGCTATCAGCTCGCAGGGCACAGCGTGCCGCCGGGGCCGCCGCCCCAGCACGCTAAGCAGAGGTTCCCGACCTCGATGCGGACTTCCCAGACAACAGCCACTGATGCCGAGCAGGCCCGCCAGGCAGCACTCCCCACGCGATCCCAGACGGATTCTGATGGGGCTCCCCCTTTCCCCATCCAGTCGCTCCGAGTGCGATTATGGCTCTACCCCTGGGTGCTCCCTGCAGCCCAGCGCAGCGGAAACAAGAAGTGTGGACTTCCGTGCAGGGGTTCGGGAGCTCGTTCGAGCTGGCAGCGGATCGAGACCTGGGCTGGGCAAGAGAGGGGGCACCAGGGCTGGACCAGCCCTGGGGGGCCCCTCCCCTCGAATCTCGCAGGCCGAGGATTTGGTCTCTGCTCGAAGAATTCCTTCTCCCCGTGCTGGCCACCACGTCTTCCCGCGGTGGATCTGGCCTTGGGGCAGCCTAATTCTCTGGAGTCTTTGCGAGGTAATGCTCAGTCGGACATGTGCCTCTACAGGAGGAAAATTCAAAAATACTCCATAGACAGTCGGGGGGCGATCTTTTTACGATTTTCATTGCTTTCTGCCATATACTTACTATTTAAAGTTTCCCTCCAAAATCCGCCTGCAGGAGGACATGCCCGACCTCAAGGTAATCCCGTAGCAGCTGTCTGGTACGGCCTCCGTCTATCACCGAGTGGAGACATACTGGTCACTAGTGGTATTCGTCTTCGCCGCTCCCTCCCGCCTCACCTTGTGAATCGCGACGTCGGACGTGTCGATTGAGCGATGCGGGCGTTTTGCTTGAGAGCCCCCCAAACGTATCAGGAATGCTGCTACGTCTTGACATGTTTCAAGATCGCGGGTGGATGGCGGCTCGGTTGTTTTCGCCTTTCGAGCTTCCAGTTCACAGCGTGGCCATCATATCATTTCCAGATTATAACAAGTGGGCGGGTTGAGGCCGGCTCGCTTTCGAAATGCAGATCTCGCTATGACGTTTGGCACATTTGTCTGGAGAGTTCCAGCAGGCACCATGTTGGAGGCGGCAGGGTGAAGCAACCTACGGCGAAACTTACAGCAGACGGCTGTTTTTTCAACCGAGGGCGCAAATCGTGGATCGCGCAACCCATGGCTCAACCCATGGATCGCGCAAACCATGGCGTAATCTTTGATGGCGCAACCTCTGGCGCAACCAAGGGGATGCGCAGCCTGTAGGTGGCGGAAGCCCATGGCAATTCATGCGGGGTTGTGCCAGATTTACGATTGCCGTTTGGGCTGACGGCGGGGCCCAAGCGGCGATCTGCCTTGCGGTTCGACATAACTAAGGTTTTCGCTTGAGGCGTCCCCATGTGTTTCAGCTACCACGCTGCAGTTGTAGAGGGCCGCTTTCAAGAGGTGGGCCCTCGCGCGTCGACCCTCACATACACAGATCGCATGAGCTTAACGCTCCCAGCAATTCCTTTGTTTTCATGACTGTTCCTTGTCAGTGGTGCCAGAGGGCCCCCAATCAATTCATTTGCTCAGCCTCATATATATATATATATATATGTGTGTATACATGTATATCTCTAAGCCGATCTGTCTGCGGAACCCATTGAGAGGGACAGAGATATAGCTGTGTATATATATATATACATAGATTCTCATACGCACCTCTCCGAGGGAGTAGAGCTCAGAGGCGATTAATGCGTCCGTCGTTCGCGATTTTTCTGGCCGTTTCGCTCGGGACATCCTCGAAATTCTGAAAATCGGTGGCACCCCTCACGCAGATCGTGACGTCAGTGTCCAAAAACACATAGGATTTCCAACATTTTATCATAAAACCTTCAAGAACACATGGTAATGTCAATGATTGTGACTCCGATTCTCAGAGAATGGCGGTTTCGCCTGAGACATCCTCCCAAAATCGAGCCCCAGACCCCTCCTCGGAGCCTCCTGGGGGCCTCCTGGAACCTCCTGGGGCCTCCTGGGGCTTTCTGGACCTTCTGGTACCCCAGACCCCGCCTCGGAGCCTCCTGGAGTTCTCCTGGGCCTGCTGAGGCCGCCTGGGGCCTCCTGGGGCCTCCTGGGGCTTCAGAACTACATGCACACACAGAGACACAAATCACGCCCAACACATCACACGCTAGACAAACATAACATACACACACAACACCGACAACACGCAAAAAGCACGCACCACACAAAGCACACATCACACACACAACACTCACAATCCTGGGGCCTCCTGGAGCCTCTTCTGGTATCCAAGTCGGGCCTCCTGAGGCTTCCTGGGGGGCCCTGGTACACACATCGCAAGGTGTGGCAACCCCACTTGCGCTCGAGTGCGACTTCGCTGTTGCATGTCACTCCTGCTTCAAACGCCCCTTCAGCTTGTTGTATGAGCCTGGGCACACACGTGCCACTTGTATATATATATATATATATATTGGCAGAGAGACAGGGAGACAAAGGGAGAGAGAGAGAGAGAGAGAGGTGGAGGAAGGTAGAGAGGAAGGGGCGGAAAGAGAGAGAGAAGGAGGGAGATAGACCGCACATGACAAGACCTTGAGTGAGTGTGTGTGTGTGTGCGTGTGTGTCAGCTTATGTGTACGAAGACGTGTTTGTGTGTGTGTGTGTGCGTGCGTGCGTGTCGAGCCCACTGTGTCAAACCCGAACGCGTCTAGTCTAATGCGTGTACCTTTTTCTTGCGTTGGACGCTCATCGAAGTCTGGACAAGCGTCAATGCCCAAGTCCAAGCCCACGTCCAGAGCCTCATCGAAACACGCCCCTGCCCACATCCAAACCCATGTCTAACCACAAGCCCAGACCCATATCTGCAACCATCATGCGAAGTCACGTCCAAATAGCGTTCACATCCAGGTCTCAACCAACGTATGAACCCACATGTAAAATCGCGTACACACATGTCCGCACCTACATCCGCACCCACATCCAACCCCCCCCATGGCGAAACTTACGTCGAGGCACACATCAATCCAAAGTCACGCAAAAAGCCGTGGCCTAGCACATATCCGAATCCAAGTCCCAACCCACGCTCAAAACCACGTCCAGGCCCACGTCCAGACCCCAGTCCAAACCCACCCACGTCTACACCCACGTCCACACCCTTGTCCGCAGAGACATTTGCATTCGCGGCGAAGTCCATGTCCAAACTCACACGGGTCTAAGCTCAAGTCCAGACCCACGTCTGCACCCAAGTCCAAAAAAGACGTCCAAACTCACGTGGCTGCAGCGGTCTGGCCCCCGCGATTCTGGGGGCAGTGCCTCGAAACGCACGGGTGGCCGTCTAAGCGCGGAGGTTGGTTTGGTAAAGTTATGTTCTCGCTCCGGCGCCGTGCACACGGTCCATGCAGCACCAGGCACCAGCTATATGAATGCAGGGCGACCCCTTTGCAAATTCATGTTTGTTTTTACTGCTACGCGCTCAACCCCAAAACACCTATCTTCCCCCTCTTCCTCATCATCCCTCACATCCTCGCCCTGACCCCACAGCGTTCTCCCACGTGCTGTTGTGATCCCCTCCGCTCTTTTGCTCGCTCGCTCACTTGATTGATTGCTCGCTGGCCCAGCGTGGGTCACAGCGCCTGGCGGCTGACCGAGCCCCGCACGCGCGTCCCAGCGCGACGTCGAAACCCGCGTCCACACTGTCCACACCCGTCTTGATCCCCACGTCCAGCCCGCGGACTCAGCCCACGTTCCAAACCAACACCTGAACCCACGTCTAGTCACGGCCACGTCCAAATCGAAGCTCACACCAGCAAAGGCTTCCTTGGCACCCTACAGTGTGCTTTTACCAGTCCGCGCGCCCCAGAAGTCCTGACCCGTTCACGTGTAGGACATTCTTCACGCCACCAGGTGCCGAAAGTGACCCGTGCGGAGGCCGACATCGAGGATGCACCCGGCGCGACCCCGGTTGAGGGTCTTATCGGCCCCCCTTCTTCCACAGTGATCTGAAGCAGCTCTGAGCAAGCAGCTCCACTTGCCGAAACGCTGCATCGCTCCCCGACAGGCTCGTCGCAAGCGCCAGGCGGCTCGTCGAGCCGCGGTGCTGGGACTCCGAGGCCGGGGAGGAGCCGGCCACTCGCGTTCCGAGTGGCCCTCTTTAGGTCGCGTTTGCGGGGGGCATCGCCCGTCCCCCAAATCGGTGTACTTTCTCGTGCCCGACGCGGGCTCGATGCGGGCTCGACGCGGATTTGGCGTGGGTTCGGCGCAGATTCGACACCGATCCGACGAGGCCGGCGTGGATTCGACACGGATTCGGCGCGGATAGGGCCGCGACGGGACAAACGAGGTCCCCCGAGGATGCAATACAACGGCCCTTTGTGAGGGGGCATAGTCAAGTCGGGCATGTCCTCCTACAGGCGGATGGGGATTCCGATTCCCTCCATGGAGGCCTACTGGCTTGCAGGTTTCTGCCGATTCGGCTTCTCCCGACGTGGCTGCCGATTTCCGCCGATCCGATTCATGCCGATCGCCCATCCGATCCGACTTGTCTATTCGATTCTGGGCTTTCCTGCTATCAGCGATACACAGATCTCCGATGTCGGGCCGATGTTTCCCGCCTGATGGCAGAAGAAACAAAAGCCTATGAGCATACACTTTTGGTTGCGCTCCGCGCGGGCTTCTTAGATCGGCGCCTGGGGCCCCCCAGGCGGCGTCTCCGGCGCCGCCCCTGGCGCGCTCCGTGCGCCAGGGAGCGGGGTCCAGCGCAGGTCAAAGAGATCCGCGCGGGCCGCCAGCAGTTTGTATTGATGCCTTTGTTGTGTTCCTCTAGTATGGCCAACCTACCGGCGATGCACAAATCTCCGATGCCAAGTCGATGTTTCCCCCCTGAGCCGTCCCACCCTTGTCGTTGTCCTTTGCACGCAGGCCGCCATCACTGCTGCATCGCATGCAGCGGTCAGCGAGCCGCTCACCCAGGGTCGCCCCTCTCGATGATCTTCAGGACGTGTGCTGGCCCAAGATGTGCTTGCCCGGCCCCGTTCAGCTCCATCAATCGGCCGATGTAGCACGACAGCCAGCGTTCAGCCCTCATCACACTGACACCGCCTACGTCGTGATGAAAGGCGTCGGTGGACAAACGCACGTAGGTGCCACCACACGTTCTGAGGATCCTAGACCGTGAGACAATGCGCGGCCCCAGAGGTCCCGACCCCCTCCCCAGGGCCAGCTTTTCCCCGCGTTGTAACGGACCCTGGTGGCTAAACGTCGCCTATGGAAAACAAATCGCATCGTCGGCGGATCTGTGAGGGTCGTTTTCGCGCTTCGCCGGAGGAGCCGCCAGACGTGGCAGCGCTGGCGAGCGCCTGGCCAGAGGTGGCGGCTGAGCTGGACCTGCTGTCCGCCTCGCAGGCAGTCCCCGGGCTTGGTTCGGGGGGGCCCGGTGTATGCCCCACGTCGCTTGGCCTGTCCGGGAGCCAAGCAGAAGGAGTCCGGTGTGTAGACGCGTCCCACCGGCTGGGCAGCTGCGGCGTCCATATACCGGGCACCTTGGCCGAGCAAGCGACGTGGTGTCCATCGAGACCCTCCCAGCATCCCGTGCAGTCCAGGAGGGGCAAGAGAACAGCACCAGGACGTTTTCATGTACGTGGTTCACGTCTCGCGTACTCCCTTCAGCCCATTCGGAAACGATGTTGAGACAGAAGACGGACGAAAGCTCGCGAGCAGGCCGAGCAGGCCGCAGGAGGAACGACGGGTTTGGCGTGGGGTCGGCCCCCCACCCCCGGGGTCATGTACGGATCGGCCTGGCTCGCGAGGTGCCGCAGAAAGAGGGGATCGAGGGCTCCGGTGGTGAATTTCTCTCGATGTTGCCAGGGCCATCCCCAGGAGAGGCCCAGGGTGGGCCACGCGCACAAGGCGGTGGGGGGAGGGGGGGAGGCTTCTTAGAAGCACCCCTGCTTCTCAGAAGGCGCGGGCCTTTTGTGTAGAGGTCTAGGGCTGGTGCCTTCTAAGAAGCGGCCTCCTTGTAAGAAGCCGTTCCCCCTCCCCCTACCCCTTGTGGGCGCCGCCAATAGGGACCGACGCTTGGAGGAAGGAGGAGGATCGGTATGAGGAGGGCGAGAGGAAGGATGAATGAGAAGGGAGAGGGGCAAGGGACAAGCTAGATGCGCTCGCGTCTTATCTGACATCCTACTTCCACCCACCCATCCAATCCCATGGCGCAGACTGGTTCACTTTCCGTGGGCGCATGTCATTGCGGACCTGGAATTCCCAAAGTACCCCATCGTGTCATGCGCAATCGGAAAAAGTGAGCTGCGAGCATTGGAGGAGGTGCGGATGAGCAGGAGGAAAGGGAGGATGATGATGAGTAAGAAGGAGGACCAGGACGAAGAGCAGCAGCAGGATCTGGAGTAGAAGGAGGGGGAGGAGCAGGAGCCAAAACGAGAAACAGCGACAAACAAAACACAAACGACATTACCGTTTAGGTTCAGCCCTGGCTGAGCCTGTCCAGGCCCCCCGCGGAGCGGAGCGGAGCAGCACGCTCTCCGCTCGCCGGGCATATTGTGTGTGTATGTGCCGTGGCCGTCGCGGCGACTCGCAGGGCAACAGCTCCCGACCGTAACTGTGCAGGAGGCGTCGGAGGGGCGTTGGAGTTTCGGCGGCGAGCGAGGGGGGGAAGCGAGAAGGAGAAGGCCTCCTCAGAAGGCGGCGGGACTTCTCGGAGGCCCTCGCACCTTCTGAGAGGTCGTGTTGCGTCTCCCGGGAAGGCTCTGAAGACTTCTCAGACGGCCGGGGCCTCCCGAGCCCTCTGAGAAGGCCCGCCCCTTCGCACTTCCCCCCCCCCCCCCCCCCCCCCCCCCCCGAGGGGGGGAGGGAAGCGCCCCGCAGGTGCCCGCGGGTCAGGGCGGGGGCGGCGCCTGGCCGCAGGCCCAGGAGCGGGGCGGGCGGCCAACCGGGCAGCAGGAAGGGTTTACGGGGAGGGTGGCAGCTCTCCGACGGACGGGGGGGAGGAGGAGGAGGAGGAGGAGGAGGAGGAGGAGGAGGAGGAGGAGGAGGAGGAGGAGGAGAGGAGAGGAGGAGGAGGAGGAGGAGGAGGAGGAGGAGGAGGAGGAGGAGGAGGAGGAGGAGGAGGAGGAGGAGGAGGAAGGAGGAGGGGGGAGGAGGACGAGGAGGAGGAGGAGGAGGAGGAGGAGGAGGAGGGGGAGGAGGACGAGGAGGAGGAGGAGGAGGAGGAGGAGGAGGGAGGAGGACGAGGAGGAGGAGGCGGAGCAGGAGGAGGAGGAGGAGGAGGAGGCGGAGGCGGGACGTCGAGCGTAGAAAGGACAGGCAAGCTTCCCAAGGGTACCCTTGCATCCCTGCCTCCTCGGCCCATCCTCGGCCGCTTTCGCTGGCCGCGCCCCGCTCGCAGAGTGTCGACATGGCTTTCCAAGGCCCTTGCACCCTTGTCGTGCACCCTTCTGATACAGGCCGGCTGTAGACGATATGCCAGTCGTTGGGCTCGTTTCTTCTTTGGTATTCCAGGTCGAAGTTTGTTTTCCGTTTGTGGGTCAGTTGCTTTTCCGTTTTAACATCCTCGTTCGCGCCGTTGACGGTTCGGTTTTTTGTTGCATTGCCGTTTGTTTTAACTTGTATTGGGTTGCCGTTTTTCGTCGGTTTCGGTGGGCCGAGAAAAATGAACGTTGAACACTACGCAACACGTACCGTGCTCGAAAAGTCCGTGGCAATACGATGCACGCTGGCTCAGCGCAGTGGCCCACGCTGTGGCGAACGTGTCGCTTCAGGCCCACGCCTCGGTCTACGTGCTGAGCTCTGTGCCAAGACGCCACGGGCTGCGTGTTGCTCATCCTCCGCGGAGCCCCGCCGGGCGGCAGGGGCTCGAGCCCCTCGCGGGGGATCGGCCAGCCGGGCTTCGCGGCAGGGCCCTGGCCGACCCGGGTTTCGGCTGACCCGGGTGAGTCTCAAGTCGGGCATGTCCCTCTGCAGGAGGGATGTTCAAAGCCAGTGGAAACTTAAAAGTAGTCTGGAGACGATTTTCCATTTCTTTGCGGAATGCCTTTGAGCGGAGGAGCAGGAGCGCTGTGCCACCCGATGCGGCGGGCGCTGCGCGGCCCGCTGCGGCGCTGCGCCCTCGCGCACGGGGCACGCCGCGCCTGGCCGGGGCCTCGCGCCTCCGGCGGCGTCGCCGCGCCTCGTGGACAGAGGCCGGGCCTCGGGGGCACCTCGCCGCCGCCCTCGCGTGGCTGTTTTTGTCAAGTGCTCTGCAGCACACGGGACATCGTGTCCCGCGCGGCGCCGCACGGCCCGCGCGTGCGCGCCCTCGGGGCTTGGCCGCCTTGGGCCCCCCCGATCGCGCGCCGGCCGCGGCCTCCGCCCGACGACCGCTCTCCTGCGCGGAGCGGGAGGATGTGGATGTCTGTGTGTATGTACTGTTGCATGGGTGGATGGATGGGCGGATGGATTGATCTATGTATGTGCGTCTGTATGTATGTATGTATGCATGCATGCATGCATGCATGCATGCATGCATGTATGCTTGTATACATGTATGGGTGGGTGGATGGATACATGTACGTATATATATAAATAGGTGTGCATGTATGTATGTATGTGTGTATGTATGTAAGTATATATGTATGAATGTATGTATGTATGTATGTCTGCCTGTATGTATGTATGTACGTATGTATGTATGTATGTATGTATGTATGTGTGTATGTATGTATGTATGTATGTATGTATGTATGTATGTATGTATGTATGTATGTATGTATGTATGTATGTATGTATGTAATGTCTGTCTGTCTGTCTGTCTGTCTGTCTGTCTGTCTGTCTGTCTGTCTGTCTGTCTGTCTGTCTGTCTGTCTGTCTGTCTTTATGTATGCATGTATGTATGTATGTATGTATGTCTGTGTGTGTATGTATGTATGCATTTATGTATGTATGTATGCATGCATGTATGTATGTATGTATGCATGTACGGATGTACATATATACGTATGTCTGTATGCATGTATTATTGTACGTATGCATTGTTGTATGCATGCATGTATGCACGTGCATGTGCAATAAACACATATTTAGGTATATCGAGGCCACGGCCTCGCCTACCTAGCCCTGTGGTCATCAGTGTTTGCGTAGCGCGTCGCGTCGCCAGTTTGGACCCACCACGCTCTGGCGCGACACGCCAACTCAACGTTCCCAGGCTTTTCCAAGCTTCCGCCACTCAGAGCGGAGCGACACGCTATCAGTTCGCAGTGCATGGCGCGTCGCCGGGACCGCCGCCGCGACACGCTGGGCAGAAGTTCCTGACCTGAGAGATAGGCCCGGAGGATGCTCCGCACCCGTGGCTCGCTCGCTCGCTCGCCCGTCCCACCTGGCGATCGCCTGGCAGGAGCGGCTACGGGCGCGGCAGCTCGCGGCCCAGAAGGAGGTGCTGCGGCGCAGCCTCGAGGAGAGTCCGGCCGGCCTCGCCGAGGCGGTGTTCCTGCCGGGCGCGGAGGACCCGCATGATGGGCATCCTGCGGGCCACCGCCACGTCTGGCCAGGGTCATATTGTGTGCCCTGAACTTGAGATCTGATGGAGCGCGTTTCCCGGGCTCTTCCATTGGGAACGTTCGGCGGCGCGTTCCCCCCCCCCCACCCCCGAACATGCGGTGCCATCGAACAGAACAAGAGGGACTTCCCTCCCCCCCCCCTGTTCCCCGAACCCCCCCCTAGGTGCCGGCGCCGGCGCGCCGGCGGCGGCGGCGGCGGTGGCTGGCAGCGCCGACGGCGGCGACGCGGCGACGATGACTGGGACGAGGACGACGACGACAAAGTCCCTTGTAGTCCTCTGTCCTCGGCCTTGAGTGTCGGCAGATTGACGGTCCTAGATTTCAACTGTACTTCTTTTAGCGTTGCTTCGCGTGCCCCCCGCGCTTTCCGTCGTCGTCGTCGTCGCCGTCGCCGTCGCCGTCGCTTTCGTCGTCGTCGCCTCGTCAACGTTGTCGTGGTCGTCGTCGTCGTCGTCAACGTCGTCGTCGTCGTCGTCGCCGGCGTCGTCGTCGTCGTCGTCTTCGTTTTGGTCGTCGTCGTCGTCGTCGTCGTTGTCGCCGTCGTGGTCGTCGTCGTCGTCGCCATCGTCGTCAACGCCGTCGTCGCCGTCGTCGTCATCGTCGTCGTAGTCAGTCGTCGTCGTCATGCTCGAAGTCGTCGTGGTCGCGGTCGCCGTCGTCGTCGCCGTCGTCGTCGCCGTCGTCGTCGGCGTCGTCGTCGTAGTGCTCGTCGTCGTCGTTGCCGTCGTCGTCGTCGTCGTCGTGGTCGCCGTCTTCGTCCTCGTCGTCGTCGTTGCCGTTGTCGTCGTCGTCGTCCTCGCCGTCAGTTTCGTCGTCGTCGTCGCTGCCGTCGTCGTCGCCGTCGTCGTCGTCGTCGTTGGCGTCGTCGTCGACGCCGTCGTCGTCTTCGCAGTCGTCGACGTCTTAGTCGAGCTCGTCGTCGTCGCCGTCGTCATCGCCGGCGTCGTGGTCTGCGTCGTCGTCGTCGCCGTCGTCATATTCGTCATCGTCGTCGCCGTCGTCAACGTCGTCCTCGTCGTCGTCGTCGTCGCCATGGTCGTTGTCGTCGTCGTAGTCGTCGCCGTCGTCATGCACGTCGTCGTTGTAGTCGCCGTCGTAGCCGTCGTCTTCATCGTCGCCGTCGTCGTCGTCGTCGCCGTCGTCGTCGCCATGGTCGTAGTCGTCGTCGTAGTTGTCGTCGTCATCGTCATGCACGTCGTCGTTGTAGTCGCCGTCGCCGTCGTCGTCGCAGTCGTCGTCGTCGTCGTCGTCGTCGTCGTCGCCGACGTTGCCGTCGTCGCTGTCGTCGCTGTCGTCGGCGTCGTCGGCGTCGTCGTCGTCGTTGATCTCGCCGTCGTCGTCGCCGTCCTCGTCGTCGTCGTCGTGGTCATGCTCGTCGCCGCCATCGTCGTCGTCGACGTCGACGTCGTCGCCGTCGTCATCGTCAGTGTCGTCGTGGTCGTCGTCGTCGTCGCCGTCGTCGTCGTCGAGCTCGTCGCCGTCGTCGTCGTCACCGTCGTCCTCGTCGTCGACGCCTTCGTCGTCGTCGTGCTCGTTTGCGTCGCCGTCGTCGCCGTCGAAGTCGTCTTTGCCGTCGACGTCGTCGTCGTCGCCGCCGTCGTCGCGGTCTGCATCGTCGGCGTCGCCGTCGTCGCCGTCGTCGCCGTCGTCGTCGTCGTCGCCGTCAACGTCAACGTCGTCGTTGACGTCATCGTCGTCGTCTTGCCCTTCGTCGCCTTCAACGTCAACGTCGTCGTTGACGTCATCGTCGTCGTCTTGCCCGTCGTCGTCGACGTCTTCGCCGTCGTCGCCGTCGTCGTCGTCGTCGCCGTCGTCATGATCATCGTCTTCGTCGTCGTCGCCGCCGTCGTCGTCGTCGTCTCGCACTGCGTCGTCGTCGTGCCCGCCGTTCGCAGTCGTCGCCGTCGTCGTCATCATACCTAAATCGTCATCATAGTCTTCGTCATCATCCTCCCAGCCGTCATCATTGTCGTCGTGCTCGTCGTCGTCGTCGTTGTCGTGATCGTTGTCGTCGTCCTCGTCGTGCCCGTCGTCGTCGTCGTCGTCGTTGCTGCCGTCGTCATTTTTAGGCGCCGTCGTCATCATCGCCGTCATCGATGTCGTCGTCGTTGTTGGCAGCGTCATCGTCGTCGTCGTCGCTGCCGCAATAGTCGTCTTCATCGTCGTCGTCGTCGTTGTCTTCGTCGTCGTAACTGTCGCCGACGTCGTCAACGCCGTCGCCGCCGCCGTCGGCGTCGTCGTTGTCGTCTCTTCTGTCGTTGTCGTCGTCGTGGTCGTTGTCGTCGTCGTCGTCGTCGAGCTCGCCGTCGGCGTCGTCGTTGTCTCTTCTGTCGTCGTCGTCGTGGTCGTCGTCGTCGTCGATGCTGTCGTCGTCGCAGTCGTCTTTTTCGTCGTCGTCGTCACCGTCGTCTTTGTTGTCGTCGCCGTCGTCGTCGTCGTCGTGCTCGTCGTCGTTGCCGTCGCCGTCGTCGTCGCCGTCGTCGTCATCATCTTCGTCGCCGCCATCCTCGTCGTCGTCGCCGCCGTCGTCGCCGCCGTCGTCGTCGCCGTCGTCTTTGTCGTCGTCGTTGTCCTCGTCGTTGCCGTCGTGGTCGTCCTTGTCGCCATTGTGACCGTCGTCGTCATCGTCGTTGTTGTCGTCGTTGTCGCCGTCGTCGCAATAGTCTTGATCGTCGTCGTCTTGGTCTTGGTCGTCGTCGTCCTCTTGGTCGTCGTCGTCGTTGTGCTTATTGTCGTCGATGCCGTCGTCGCTGTCGTCGCCCTCGTCGTCATCGTCGTCGCCGTCGTCGTCGCCGTCGTCGCCGTCGTCGTCGCCGTCGTCGTCGTCGTTGTCGCCGTCGTCGTCGTCGTTGTCGCCGTCGTCGTCGTCGTCGTCGCCGTCGTCGCCGTCGTCGCCGTCGTCGCCGCCACCGCCAGCCGGCGCTCGCCCCAGCGCTGGCCCGAGGAAAAGGGTGTGGGTTCGAACCTCCCCTTCCCCCTTTGAATCGTCGTCCTCGTCGACGCCCGCAGATCCTCGCGCTCTCTCTGAGATCTGGGCGCTGCAGTTTTTGCGCATCGGGCGGCTTCTCCTGGTGCCGGCCCCCTGGGGACCCGAATGATGCCGCAGAATGGACAGGGTCTGGGCCTCAGACCCCGACACCTTGACGCTCCGATATTTCTGGTGCGCGGGCCCCAGAGGTCTGGGCCACTTCCCCAGGGTCAGTTTTTCGTCCCGAGTCGTTTTTTGACAGTCCCGAGGCCCGGCGAGGGCCCTCAGAGGCCGAAAATGACCAACATGCCGCCGCTCCAGTTTCGTTGGAGCGTCGGATCTTTGGGGGTCGTGAGTTGTTGCGATGTTGCGGTGTGTCGCAACGTCGTCTCTCACGGAGCATGATGCACACACCCCTCCGTGGCTATCGGCCAGGAGGGCGCGCGTGCACCGTGCCCAGGGCCCACGGTGTGTCATTGGCGGGGCACGAGCGGTGGTTTCATGAGCACGCGGGCGACGCAGAATCATAGTTGTAAAAACGGGCCTGTCCCTCTACAGGAAGAAAGTTCAAAAGTGGCCAGAAGATAGTCTTGGGACTGCTTTTCGATCATTTTTTTACGTATGTTGGGGCATGTTTGAATATCTGTCATGTTTCGCCCAACATCCGCCCGTAGGGGGCATGCCCGACCGAATCATTGCTCGGCGGCGAGCACACGGTGGAAGTGAGGAGGGGCAGGCCTGCCCAGAAGGCTCGGGAGGCCTCGGGGCCTTCCGAGAGAAGCTCTCCGAGCCCTCCCCGAAGGCGCAGAGAGCTGCTCCGAGGGCGCGAGTGCTCCTGAGAAGCCCCGCCGCCTCCTGAGAATCACTACCCACCAAACCACCCCAACCCAACCCGAAGGCTCAGATTTACCCTCGATTTCTAGTGGGGGGGGGTCCGGGAACATCGAAAAAGCACGTATGGAGCCCATACCCCCCCCAACCCGAAATTCGGGTATTCGGGTTGGGTTGGGGTGGTCTGGTAGGTAGTCAGAGAAGGCCTGCTCGTTTCCCCCCCCCCCCCTTGGGGCCCGCCGCCTACCGGGATCGAAGGCGCGGACATCCGAGCGCACGCTGCCCGCGAAAGGTCGCGCGTGAGCGCCCTCGTTTCCAAGGCAGCGGCCCGCGCGGGCCGCGCCGCAGGGCCACCGGGTCGGAGTGCGCGAGGCTCGTTGCTTGTCGTCGCTCGCGTGCCCTCTGCGGGAGAGGACTCGGAGGCCCCGCGGCCCCTGGAGGTCCCGACCTTTGGCCCGCTCGGGCGTTGCGCCATGGGGGGCGGCGAGTGGGGGGGGGGGTGAAGAAACGTGCGCTGCTCGTGCACCTTAGGTGCCCCCTGGGGCCCACCAAAAGGGGCACGAGAGGTGCACGTCTCTCCCCCATCCTGACTTATGGCCCCCAGAGCTCGAGAATGGGAGCAGGAGCAGCCGTCTGGATTTGTTCATGACCCGAGGGGGTCTGGGGAAGATCAGGAGCGGCCAAGAGTTAAGTCGGGCATGTCCTCTACAGGAGGAATGCTCAAACGTCATCAAAAAATAGTCAGGGGATGATTTTTCGACGACTCTTGACTGGTGCCGGTCATTCTTTGACTATTTTGATTTTCGCCCGTCGCCGGCCTGTAGGAGGACATGCCCGACCTTAGCCAAGAGCGGGGGGGGATGACTGGAAGGGGGGGGGGATGTCCTGGCCGGGGCCAGAGGCCTCCCCAGACGGCACGCCGCCTCCCCTGGTCGGGGGAGCGTAAGACCCGGGTTTGCCAGGACTCGGGCTCGCCATCGTTTTTTGACGACCGCGACTCGGATTTTGACGAGGAGGAGTTTCGTGGGATGTCTGCAGCGGGAGGCCTCGTCAAAATGCAGGCTCGGCCTCGTCATTTTTGTTGACGACCTCGTCGGGGATTTCCGAGTCCCCCGTACCCGGGTCTTACGTCTCCCCGACCTGGGCCGCGCACGTGCCTCGGGCCACGATTTGCGACCCGCCCCCCCTCCCTTGTCGGTGGCTCGGGGGCGGGGCCCCGAGGGAGATGCGGTCCTCGGGGCGCGGCGCCTCGGACAGCGCAGGTCCACCCCTGGGCTCGTGGTGTGCCAACCCACTCTTATCAGGACGGAAAAACACACAGACACAATTATTCGTCGATTCCCAGAAAATATAGGAAATATATGAGAAGTGGGGAGGAAGACAAAAACCCAGAAAATATGGGAAAATATGGAGAATTATTTTATTTGTGTGTATTTATTTGTGTGTCCTGGGGCCCCTTCATCTTAGCCTGGACCACCAGAAAAGAAGTTCGAGCGCCAGGAAAGTACGGAAACGGGAGGGTTTTTACGTGTCGGGTCTTGGGAGGAGATGCTCGTTCGACATGTTTTCGATCATGTTCGGGGTGCTCGACAATATGCCTGGGACTTGGTTCTCGAGTACGAGAAGGGCAACATCATCCTCGTGGCGAGGCGCCTCAAACAACGCAAAAATCCACCCCTGGACCCCTTCCTGCCCTTGGGACCCCCTCCCTCGGGACCCCATCTCAGAACCACCGCTTTTGGAGGCCCCCCTCCTCGGACCCGGACTGAAGTCGGGCCTGTCCCTCTACAGGAGAAATATTCAAAAATAGTGAGACAACAAATCTGGGGACGATTCTTCGACAATGTTTGACCACTGGGGATCTGTTTTGACTTTTTTCATTGTTCGTTTAAAATCCGCCTGTAGAAGGACATGCCCGACCTAAACCCAGCCCCCCGAAGTCATGATGTTGTCCAGACGCGACCCCCAGAGGTCCAGACCCATTCCCCAGGACCGGTTTCTCATCCTGAGTCGTTTTTCTGGGCGGTCTCGAGGCCAGGTGAGGGCCCCCATGGGCCGAAAACAGCGACAGCCTTCCGTGGTGATTTCGTCGTGGCTCGATGGGGTCTGGGGCTGCCCCCGACCAAAAAAGCAGCCAGTGCGGCGGAGGAGGAGGCGGAGGAGGAGGAGGCGGAGGAGGAGGAGGAGGAGGCGGAGGAGGAGGAGGAGGAGGAGGCGGAGGACAAAGTGGATGGGGGGGGAGGAGGCGGCGGCGGAGGAGGAGGAGGAGGAGAATGACCAGTGGAAACCCAAGAGTCATCAACGATGTTGGAAGTATCCCTCCCTCCAAGCTCGCTCTTCATAGGCCCCTACAACGGTTCATGTCCATTGAGGGAACTGCCTCGTTGGAAGACAACAGTGTGAAGATCCTCAAGCGTGCCAACACATTGTTCTCGGGATGTCAACGCTGCGTATCAACCTGACTGCTGTGCCTTGACGATCCAGAATCGCGCCAGAATGCAATATTCGGGAATTCAACACAGCGAATCAACCTAACTGTTGCGCCCGCATAATCCGGAATCCTTCCAAAAAACGCAATTTCTGGAGCGCTGATCATGGGAAGCCGTGAAGCCCGTGCACATGTTCTAAACGAGTGCACGCGGCGCTAAGGCGAGAGCCACAGTTTGAAAAGGAACCGCCCTCAATCTGTGAAACCCGCGCAAGTTTTGCTTAACGAATATGTACCGCGCTAAGGCGAGAGCCACATTTTGAAAACGCCCCGCCCTCAATCCGCGAAGCTCTTGTAACTGTTTAAAACGAATGTGCGCGGCGCTAAGGCGAGAGCCACAGTTTGAAAACGGCCCGCCCTCAATTCATGAATATATTGCAAATGTTTGAAAGGAGTGTGCGCGTCGCTAAGGCGAGAGCCACAGTTTGAAAAGGAACCGCCCTCAATCCGTGAAGCTCTTGCAAAGTGTTAGAAGTAATGTGCGCCGTGCGAAGGCGAAAGCCACATTGTGAAAATGGCCCACCCTCGATGCGTGAAGCTCTTACAATGTGTTCTTTGCTTACAAGAAACGAATGTGCGCGGCGCTAAGGCGAGAACCACATTCTGAAAGCGACCCGCCTTCCATCAATGAAGTTGTTGTCGCTTGTTCAAGCTTCAGAGTCATGAAGGGTGGGGAGATCTCAGGCGGAACGCCCAGTTCGCCCTAAAAAACTGGCCTCGGGGTGCGACATTGAGGAGTTACCTAAAATGAGAAACAATGGAGGAGGAGAAGGCGGAGGAGGAGGGTGAGGAGGGGGAGGAGGAGGAGGAGGAGGAGGAGGAGGAGGAGGAGGAGGAAAAGGAGGAGGAAGAGGAGGTGGAGGAGGGAGGAGGGAGGAGGAGAGGAGGAGGAGGGAGGAGGAGGGGAGGAGGAGAGGAGGGAAGGAGGAGGAGAGGAGGAGGAGGAGAGCGAGGAGGAGGAGAGAGGAGGAGGAGGAGATTAGAGGAGGAGGAGGAGGAGGAGGAGGAGAGGAGGGGGTGGAGGAGGAGGAGGAGGAGGAGGAGAGAGGAGGAGGAGGAGGGAGGAGGAGAGGAGAAGGAGGAGGAGGACGGGGAGGAGGAGGGGAGAGAGGAGGAGGAGGAGGGAGGAGGAGAAAAAAGGAGAGAGGAGGAGGAGGACGGGGAGGAGGAGGACGAGGAGGAGGAGGAGGAAAGAGAAGAGGAGGAGGAGGAGGAGGAGGAGGAGGCAGGCGGATGAGGTGAATGTGAAGGAGGAAGTGGAGGAGGAGAAGGGAGGAGGAGGAGGAGGAGGAGGAGGAGGAGGGGGAGAAGGAAGAGGAAGGGGGGGAGGAGGAGGAGGAAAATGAGAGGTGGAGGGAGGAGGGGGAGGAGCAGGAGGAGAGGAGGAGGAGGAGAGGGGGAGGAGAAGGAGGATGAGGAGAGGAGGAGGGCAGGAGGAGGAGGAGGGGGAGGGGCAAGAGGAGGAGTGGAGAGAGAGGAGGAGGAGGAGGAGGAGGAGGAGGAGGAGGAGAGGAGGAGGAGGAAAGAGGAGGAGGGAGGAGGAGGAGGAGGAGGAGGAGGAGGAGGAGGAGGAGGAGGAGGAGGAGGAGAGGAGGAGAGGAAGGAAGGAGGAGGAGGAGAAGGAGGAGGAGGAGGAGCAGGAGAAGGGGGAGCAGGAGCAGAGCAGGAGGAGGAGGAGAAGGAGGAGGAGCAGCAGGAGGAGGAGGAGGAGGGGGGGGCCCAGGGAAGAGACACGAGGACTTCGAGTCCGCGCCCCTCGACGCGGCGGCCGCGCTCGCGGCGGATGCGGCCCAGGACGGGAGGGGTTTCCCAGGACATGACTCCCAGGAAATGCTTCCCAGATGGGATTCCTCCTCCTCCTCCTCCTCCTCCTCCTCCTCCTCCTCCTCCTCCAGACATGATCGAGTCGTAAAATATCAGGACGTCAAGTCTCTCGTGGTTTTCGGCCCGCAGGGGCCCTCGCCGGGCCCGGGGGCCGTCAAAAACAACTCAGGATGAAACATCGCCCCTGGGGAAAGGGTCTGGACTCCCGCGGGCGCCGCATTGAAAAAGTCAGGACTTCGCGCATGTCTGGGTCCCCTTCCTTCTTGTCTCCTCTCTGCGCTGCAGCGCCGCCGCCTTGCGCGCGCCCGCCCGCGAAGGCGGCCGGGCGCGGCCATCAGAGGCTTGTCTTCCCTGTGCCCGGGTGAGGGGCTTAGAGGGGTTTAGCAGGCGCGGCGCAGGCCAGAGGGGTTTAGCAGGCCAGAGGTGGTTTAGCAGGCGCGGCGCAGCGGCTGGCGCACGGCGTTCGTCAGAGCAGATCGGAGGACGAAGAGGTGCCGATGCCGCTGCCCTTCCCTCGTTTTCCCCCTTTGGCCCTCGTCGCCACGGCCGCATTCGCCCCGAAATCTGGGTCAGAGCGCACCCTGGGGAGACCCAGGTGGGGTCAGAGCAGGTGGGCAACCCGGGCCCCCTCGAGTCATGCAGAAAGCACGACGGGAGTCTGTTTCTCAATTTTCTGCCTCTGGGGGCACTTGCCGGGCCTCGGGAGCGTAACAACCGAGCAACTCGGGACGAGAAGCCGGTCCCAGGGAACGGGCCGAGGCCCCCGGAGGTCGGCGTGATGAAAAATTCAAGGCGTCGGGCGTCCGGGAGTGAGGTCCGAGCAGGTGGTGTCGGAGGATCGCGCCGCATCGCCGATGCATCGGCGATGCGCCTCGGTGTGGAGTCTGACCTTCTCTACGCCGACGTCGCCGATGCATCGCCGACGTCGCTGGTGTATCGTCGATGCATCGGCGATCCCATCTGGGATGCCTCTGATAGGCTTTCGGGGCTCTGCTCGGAGTTGCTCGGATCGGCGGTGGGCTCCTCTCCCTGGCGCGGGGCGGCCCGCGCCGATCCGAAGGGGTTGGTGTTTTTGAAGTGGGGGTCTTGGCCGTGACAGCTACGCTTTCGACGTGAGGATGCGGTTGCCACAGCTGGGTTGCACCCCGAACTTTTTGTGCTGCCAGGTTCTTGAAGCTTCGTGCGAATGCGAGGTGTCAAGGCCCGTCAATCCGTTGTGAGACCCCGTCATGGGAATACGGGAAACGTTCTTGGGCCGCCCTGTAGGCGAGTAGGTCTGATTTGGTCTGTCACACCGCACTCGGTTATCGCAGCACTGCAATGTACTTCACCAGCTGCAATACATTGCAATACAGTTTGGGGGCTGTATTATGTTTGGGGTGTGTCATATGATCTGGGGCCCAAATGTTTCGCTTGGCTTTTGCGTGCAAGACGACTGTCAGACAATGCTCTCGCACGATCAATGTGTAAGACATGCGTCGTCAGCACGTATTGCCACTGCAACGCGAACACCCTCGCGGGCAAGGCCTTTCATGCCATGCGCGCCAACTCTTGATGCGACTAGTGTCGCTGATGAGCCGCCGAGATCTTCGAACACATGCCGAGACGTGTCTCTGCCGTGTGCGCTACGTCGTTGCATATCCTGGGGCCGCTTTCAGGCATGCGTTGCAAGCAACGGTGGAAGGGCGTCATCACGTTAGCACAGGCTTGCCAGATATCAGAATGCCAGTTACGGCTGCGGCGTTCGTTAAGGAATGTACCCAAGTGGCTTCAGACCCTGGGAGAATCCTCATCTGATGAGGGCGGCGGTGATATCCATGGCCAAGTTTCAATTGGTGTTCCTCTGGCTTCCAGGCCCTGGGGTTCCTTATCCAATGGTTCCTTGTCCAATGCCATCACCGTAACTTTCTGCCACCACATCCCTGTATCTGGACCCCCTTTTGGGCTGCC